GGGCTCACAGAGCAGCACGGCTGCTGTGACCACCAGCTGGGACTGGCCTCTCTGCAGGCTTTGTGGCCACCTGGTACCCTGGTGGCTCCAGGCAGGGCTGGGGGACACCCAGCTTGGTGTCACCCACGGATGCTGCTGTCGCCTGCCGAGGGGCTTCGGCCTCCTGGCACACCTTGCCCGGGACCCCCTGCTCAGTTGGGCGGCCACCTCCTCCCCAGAGCTCAGGGCAGCACCAGAAACCCCCCAGATGCCCCAAACCCCCTCTGGGGAAGGCGCTGGGCAGTGCAGATCTCAGCTGGCCTCACCCCTGCCCATCTCCTGCTCTCCCTCAGCTCCCTACGGACAATTCCCAGGACTGCAGCACGAAGGCTCAGCCCTGCTTTGTGCAGGGGCTCAGACACCACGGAGGGACAAAAAGCCTACAAGGAAACAGGGGGTTGTATCTGCAGCGGCTGAAAGCTTGCACCAGAAATGTTACACCATTTAACTGAAACAGAATTAATTGATGAGTTTATATAGAAAGAGGTAGCTTTACCCTAGGAGCTAAATGCCTAAAGGGCTTATTTTTCTTCTCTCTCTCTTTCAGATCTGTAGAAATACAAAGCAGTTGTGGGTTTCCAGAACAGCACCTGAAAAACTCAGTTTTGCATCTAAAATTCTGCTTCACACGATACATTTGGCACGTTCAGCTGATGCTTAAAGATAAACAAACAAGCAAACAGACAGACAGACAGACAGACAAAGAAACCCCCCCTTTGCAAAGCACCCTCCACCCCAGGATCTTGGCTGCAGGAGCCGGAGCCCCAGTGGGAACCCTGTTGGTGCTTCAGATGCTCCTGGCTGGAGCCCAGGGGAGCCCCGACCAGCCCCGGGGGTGGGAGCCCCCTCAGGGGTGGTGGTGGGAGGAGATGGGTGTGTGACCATGCGCCACGAGGAATGACACAAGCCGGATGAGGCTGGATGGCCAAGGCCACTCACAGGACGAGGGGACACTGCACAGGGAGATGCCATCTCCAGACGGGGGTTCACAGAGCACACTGAAGGCGTGAGTCACCCTGAAGCGCGTGAGTTGGGCTGCAGCTCCCGGGCTGGCATCTGCATGGCTAGCTCTGACTCACTGATGGCTAATCAGGAACGCACACCTCTTGGTCAGCGTCAGCTCTATTGTGGTGGTGGATGTCACACAATGAGCCCACCTCAGCACCCAGCTCCGAGCCACGGGGTCCTGGCATCATCGCTCCTGCCCCGGGGAAGGGCTGATGGGCATCTGCTGCGGCACCAGCTCGGGCCAGGGGAGGCTGGGATGGTCAAGTCAGGGAGACCCCAGGACGTCTGGTGGCTCTCCTACTGCTCAACAAAGGCTACTGTGGGCTGGGACACCGGATCTTCAAGGATCCTGTCCAGGTTAAACATGAAGGTAGGTCCTGCCGGCCCCATGTCGGCCTCCAGAGCCACGCTACGGCATCGTCAGTGTCAGGGCAGCTCCCCGTGGAGCTCCTGTGTCCCCAGCTCATCGCTCATCCCCGTGAGACGGGGCGGATGGAAGGTGTCACTCTGCTGTCACTGTCACTGTTGGCCAACTACAGCATCTCAGTGAGCACAGAAGGCTGTGTGGCAGCGAGCGGGCAGAGCTGCCCTCGCCATGCTCAGCCCCAGGAGGGGGGAATAAACATCATCTCTATCGATCGCCTGAACTCTGACCTGATGTTCTCCCTCTCAGCATTTCTTGGCCTCTTTCTCTCTCCTCAAACGTCCTCCTGCGGAAGACCCATCTTGGAAGGAGACACGGCCAGAGCTAGAGTTATGGGGAGAGAGGTTTGTGTCTTCTGCTCCCGGGGTCCCCAGCCGGGACCCTCACAGACCTCTGCAAGAGAAAGGCACCAGGGCCCGCGCTGCAGCCACCACCTGCAGAGAGGACTTCCCTGCCCTTAGACAGAACTACTGTAAATCCAGAAGGTAATGTGCTTAGAGAGAACCTCCAGCGATGGAACCAGCTTCAGCCGCCCCTGGAGGGACACTGGCACCTGGAGGGTGGCTCCTGCAGGGTCACCTCATCCTCCCCGTGTCCCATGGGACACCAGGACACCTCTGGGTCTAGGGAAGAGCTTCAGTTTGGGGCACAACCCTTTCTGGAGCAGAGCTAAATGTAAAATGAGGGAGAAAGCTGCGGCACCATGGGGGCACAGCCCTTCACTGCTCCAGACACCCCCGTGGGGGGGGGTCAAATGGGCTCTGGCTGTCACCCAGCCTGGCCAAAGGGACACAGCCCCGAAGGGGATGCTCCAGGGCTGGCATCCCACCAGCACGGTCCCACCTCGCTCCTGCGTGCAGGGGTGGCTGCGGTGGCAGGTTTGGGTAATGCTGTCACCCTCAGGAGAGACTGGAAAACATGTTCTGGAATTGCCCGTCTCAGCTTATCTAACTGCTCTTGGCATTATTTTCTGAATTTACAGCAATTTCCCAAAAGAGAGGAGCTTTCACAATGAAGGAGAGTGGCTGACATCATTAGATATTCTATTTACAGCTGACTTCCTGGGAAATATTTCAAGTCTTTGACATCAACTGGGAGCTTAAGAATTTCAGAGATGAAAGGCCATGGCTTTCAGAAAAAGGAACGAGAACGTTTAACTCTGCGGGGCCGTGGGAAGTGCCAGACACTCGGTGGCAGGGGGGGAAGGGGAGGGGGGACCAGGAGGACGGGGTCTCCATGGAAGGTGATGTGCAGGAGCTCAGGCAGGGTCTGCTGCTCCTGAGGGGCGAGGGGAGCACATCGCCTCTGCAAGGAGAGGAATGTGGGGAAGCAGTGGTGGAGGACAGGAGGGGGTTAAAGAGAGGCAGAGGATGGAGAAGGGGAGTCCCCTAGACCCCAGGGAGGTGGCCTGCATGGGGAAGAGCAGGTCGGTGGTGATGGGGATGGCCAGAGGAGACCAGGGAAGGAGGGAGGAGTGGGGTCAGGGGGCTGCTTCTCACTGCTGGCTCTGGAGACCAGAGGGGGCAGGAGACCCACCAGCCCCTCCATCAGCCCCTTCATCAGCCCCTCCATCAGCCCCAGGTGAGGGAGGCTGGTGGGGCCGGGACAGGAATCAGCACAGGCCAAAGCCTGGTGGGGGTAAACCCTTGGAGATGCCATGCCTGGTCGCCATGAAAGCTGAGAACATCCATGTTCTCTAGCGTCACTGGAGACAGGCAGAGTCAGCAGTGCTTAGAAGGAGGCATGGTGTGCCTCATTTCAGAAGGGTCCCCAAATGCAATTAAACTACAAGGGTTCAGCAGGGGACCCCGAGGCTCCCGACCAAGCCGTGCAGGGGGAAGGGACCGGGTGGGAGACACCAGTCCCCAGGGAACGGCCACCACGTGCATCGGGGGCCAAATGCAGGGATTGAGGAGGGTGCAGCAGGGTGGGATGCAGAGATTTGTGCCACACCATGGTCCTGCCTGTGAGTTTGGTACCCCCCGAGAGGTGGGTGCAGCCGGGCTGGCACTGCCAACACCGGGAGGGAGACCTGAGCCTGGTGGAGGATGGAGCTACATGAACCCTGGGGGTACGTCAAGACCGGACGTTTTGTCCCCCTGTGCCACAGCCTGAAATGTCACCAGCAGTGCTAGCACCACCTGGACCTGTGACCCATGGCTGGGGTGATCTGCTTGGAAAAACCTTTCCAAAAGAAGGTCTCCCCTTAGCTCTGATCTCTAGAGCTAAGCCCCAGCAACTGCCCGCCAGTGACACCGGTGGGACCTGCTCACTGCAGCTGCACCCTGCAAGGGCGGAGGTTTTGGGTCATTTCCTGCTGTAACTTTAAGTTTCAAAGCCTTGGAAGGCTTTGCTCTCAAATCTCGGGCTCTAATGTAGAGTTTTTTGGGTTAGTTTGGTTTTACAGTGGGGGGGGGTGGTGGGGCAAAGGGTCCAACTGCCTGGGGAGTGTGACAGTCACAGCTCCAGCGTGGCAGAGAGAACCGGTGTCTCCTGAGTTCCATGAGGGAACCCGAGTAGGATTTTAAGTGAAAGATGGTCCTGCATGTCCTGGGGTCCCTCTGCTGTCACCTTACAGATCTCCTGGGCTGAGTGGAGGAGTAGAACAAGAGGTGAGAGGATCTACCACGCTTTGATGCTGTGTAGATACCTCAGAGCCAGCAGCCAACCCACCGGCCCCACGACCCGGAGATGTGAGGGATCCAGCGCTCAGCAGAACTTGGCCACCATGAGTGTCCAGGGGAGGGACACCTGGGTGCACCCCCTGCCCGGAGCCACCCCTAACACCCTTCTATGTCCTGCCAAAGCACTGTCCTGTGGGGCACCAGGGCCAGCTCATCCCAGAAATGAACAACAGCTGGGGTGGTGCTGCCCTGTCCCTTCCAAGGGCTGTCACAGCCCACCCTGGTGGCCCGTGTCCTTTCTAAGGGCTGTCACAGCCCACCCTGGTGACCCGTGTCCTTTCTAAGGGCCGTCACAAACCACCCTGGTGGCCCATGTCCTTTCTAAGGGCCGTCACAAACCACCCTGGTGACCCAGGTCATTTCTAAGGGCTGTCACAGCCCACCCTGGTGACCCGTGGGGACCGGCCAGGGCTCTGATACAGAGTCTGACAGCATTTGGAGATCCTTTGAAATGACAAGCACTAGAGAAACACACACCGTTATTCCTTGTTCAGGAGCAAACATTTAGGAGTGGAACCCAGGACTAAATACAGCAGCTCAACACCAGCACCGAGACAGAGGAGGAACACGGAACGACAGGAAGGCAGTTTTGAGGGAAGAAGCAACAGTGGGAGCCGGCTGCGTGTGCGGTTGCGCAGAGAGGAGCCATGAACAGATCACACCAGCTTCTGGAAAGCGCGTCTCAGCATCGTCTCTCCCCGTGCAGCTGAGAAGTCCTGACATCTCTGAAACGCCCCTCGAAACACACCCGGCACAGCTCCGCTCCTTACGCACCTCCCCGTCCCCCCCCCGGGGCCTAAGCCCTGCGCCCCCCCCCCGGCCCCGGCCGGCGACCAGCGTCTTACCGTGCCGCGACCACCGGTGACTTCTTCCCGGGATCTAAGGTGGACCCGGCCGGTTCCTCCCCCAGTGATCGTGTATCCTTATTCAGTTGCTGTAGTCGGGAACTTAGCTCACTGATCACAGTTGGCTTGTCATCATCAGCCCCATGGATCGGCCTGCTCTCCATGGGGTCCCCCCATAGCTTGGACCTTCTCTGAAAGAGGTAGCGTGGCCGGCCAATGCTGGCTGATGCCAGAGTGGCCGCATGTTGCTGGGAGATGAGCTCGCTGTCCGAAGACTGCTTCAAAAGTGGGTCCCTGAAAGTAACTGGCCCCTTGCTGAGCTGGGACTTGAGTTTTGGCTTTGGAGGCACTGGTGGCTTCTCGAGTATAAAAGTTTGTCCATCCGCAAAGGAAGTGTATGTGTCAGTAGGCTCCCCGCTTTCTGAGGACAACGTAGACATGCTGGAGACCGTCGAGATGGTGCTTGTGGTCTCCAGGTGATGGTCACTTGAACTTCTGGTGTCCACCTCTTCCACTCCCGAGTCTGCAGCAGACTCTGGGGCTACGGGGGCATCAGAGGGCTTCCCTGAGGGTGTTCCGCCAGTGGTAGAAGGTGCTACTGCTGCCGCTGGTATGGATGGCGTGCTAGGCGTAGCCAGGTGGCTGACTGGTGTGCCAGGGGTGGTGACCAGTACCCCGTTTGCAAACTCATCTGGTGGAGGCACCAGCCCGATCTTGGCCAGCTCCTCCCTGGTCTCTTCGTCACTTGAAGACAACTGAGCCGGCGGGAGGGTAACCGTGTAGGGCTCCACCTCCTCCTCCGAACTCCCTTGTCCCAACGTCTTGTCAGAGGCTGGACTGATGGGGGGCTTTCCCACAGGACTGGGCTGGGTCTCTGCTTTGGGGGACTCTGCTGGCTCCGTGCATGCTTCAGGGACAGCTGGTTTCTCCTCTTTTATCTCAAGTCCTATCTCGTCTTGGCCATTACTTGTGGCGTGAACCATGATGAGGCCAGCAGTCTTCTGCTGCGATGTGTCCACTATGCTGATAATCATGGACTTCTTGTCTTCCTGCTTCTTCTCCTCCTTCCCCGGTGTTTCTGCTCGTGCCTCGGTCTCTTTCCTCAGGGTGGAGGGAGTCCCCCACTGGCTCTTCGTAGGGGCCAAAGTCCCAGCGTCTGTTCCCATCGCCCCTTTGCCTCCGGGTGAGTAGGCAGGGGACACCAAGCTCTCCAGCTCCCCCCTCTCTGGTTCTTTGGTTTGGATGTCCACAAACAGGGGTGCTGCTCTCTCTGAGTCCGGGCTGTGGATCGGGGTGGGCGACCGGGATGGGACTTGAGTTGAGAGGGCCCGTTCCCTTGCGGCCAGCGCAAGCGCCAGTGGCGAGTTGGGATCCAAGGGCTTTCCTGTTAGGGGGTGGATGAACGTTGAGGATGAGCTGCTAATTAATGGCTTTAAAGCTGAGACAGGGGAAGGCAGTAGTACATCTCGGCTTCCTAACAACCGCTCATCGATAGACCTGGACTGCTGCAAGGATGGCATGTCGCTGCTGGGGGGGCTGCCTTCGATGGCCCCAACCGAGAGGAAGACAGTGGATTTCCGCCTCTCATCCAGACGACGGTCTCTGTCCTTCATGACTCCGGCGATGGCAGTGGCAAAGGGGATGCTCGTGGCTTCAACCTGAGCGATGCCGGCGTGGTGCTGATACTCCACCCCGCTCAGGCGATGGCTCCTGCGGGTGGGAGAGGGCTCCCTTGTAAAGCCTCCGGTGATGGACAGCGTGGCTCTCTCCTGGGCATCCTCCACTTGTAACTGCTTAACGAGAGGACTCTTCTTCCTCTGTGGCTTGGTGGGAGCAAACAGGCTGACGTTGAACTGACCCATGTTGGCGTAAGGGTTGTCAATCACTCTCCCCTTCCTCTTCAGCTTCTCCGGAGGGGTTGCGGACGGGCCAGGCCGGGGGATCTCTGTTGGCTCCACGGGAAGATGAGAGGAATCCTGTAGGATTATCATGGACCGGGCCCTCTTCTGCCTTTCAGGGTAAGGAATGGAAGTCCTCGCCTGATCGTACATCTCAGCCGCGCTAATGACCTGCGGGAGTCCATGGAGTTTAGCCTCTAGGCTTGGCTTAAAGCTTGATCTTATGGTATCGTAAGCTCTTCCTGGGGGTGGAGGTGGCGAGAAGGATGGAGGGGGGCCTGTGTCGAAGTAATATGGAGAAGGAGGCGGAGGTGGGGCTGTTTGAGGTGGTGGTGGAATCCCATGTCCTTCCCTAACAGTGTCTTGCATCGATGTACTCCGGGGAAACTTCCCATCTAGCAAAGAAGCAGCAAGTTTCTCATCTTCACCTGGAAAACAAGGAGGACAGTGAAGTCAGAGAGGAAGTCTCTAGAGAATCACAGAATCCCAGAGTGGCAGGGGTTGGAAGGGACCTCTGTAGAGCACCCAGTCCATCATCTAGTCCAATCCCCTGCCACAGCAGGGTCACCCCCAGAGCAGGTCCCCCCCCCAGAGCAGGTCCCACAGGAACATCTCCAGGGTTCTTGGAATGTCTCCAGAGAAGGAGACTCCACCACCTCTCTGGGCAGCCTCTGCCAGGCCTCTGCCACCCTCACACCAAACAACGGCCTCCTCATGGTGTTCCCATGGAGCTTCCCCTGCTCCAGTTGGTGCCCGTTCCCTCTTGGCCTGGCCCTGGGCACCACTGGGAAAAGCCTGGCCCCATCCTCCTGACACCCCCCCTGGAAGGATTGCCAGGCCTTGAGCAGATCCCCCCTCCCTCTGCTCTTCTCCACACTAAACACACCCAAGTCCCTCAGCCTTTCCTCAGCACACAGATGCTCTAGGCCCCTCATCATCCTTGTAGCCTCCACTGGACTCTCTCCACCACTTCCCTGTCCTTCTGGAACTGGGGAGCCCAGCACTGGTCCCAGTGCTCCAGCTGGGGCCTCCCCAGAGCAGAGCAGAGGGGCAGGATGACCTCCCTCCACCTGCTGGCCACGCTCTTCTTGCTGCCCCCCAGGATGCCCTTGGCCTTCTTGGCCACCAGGGCAAGAATCCAGACCGTGACAGTCACTGCAGATTGGATATATGACATCCCTTTCTTCCCCCACCCCGCCTTCTCTCTGAGGTGATGACTTTGCACTTCACCTTCCCCTTGCCTGCTGCCAGCCTTGGCAGCTTGGCCCGTTGCTCATGTCCCCCTGGCACAGAAGGAGGGGTGGGGGGGGCACAGTCTCTCGCAAGGTCTCACACTGTTTGAAACCCCTCAGACAGTTGTGCCCAACACTCTCCGACCCGGCAGGACGCTCCCCAGCCCCTCGCAGCCTCCACAGCCCCCAGCGCTGGCTCCATCCCCCTCCCGATACCCCAGGTGTGATTCGGGGGGAGCACACTGCGCTGTGTCGCTCACGGCGGTGGCTGCTGTCTCCATGTGCGGGCCCTCGCACTCTGCCGCTCGCTCTTCGCGTGTCACACCCCCCCTTCCCCCCCCGTCCCCCAGGGGCTACATATGCTCCGATGTGCCAGACTGAAGGCAGAGCAGGGTCTAGCAGAAGCTCCAGTTTATGTAGTTTGGGAACTGGAAGAACCCACAGAAGCCAGGTTCTGCCGTTCTTACTGCTCCCTCACCCCCGAGTGCAGAGAGAGAGCTCCTTCGGGCCTGTAACGCCCAGTGAAGTATGTGAGAACCTTGCAATACAAAGGCAAGATTAGGAGGAGGCAAAATTCCCTTCCCTATTAGAATCAGAGAATGGTTTGGGTTGAAGGGACCTTAAAGCCCATCCAGTGCCACCCCCTGCCCTGGGCAGGGACACCTCCCACCAGCCCAGGTTGCTCCAAGCCCCCTCCAACCTGCCCTTGAACCCCTCCAGGGATGGGGCAGCCACAGCTTCTCTGCCCAACCTGGGCCAGGCTCTCACCACCCTCCCACCAAACAAGTTCTTCCCCACAGCTCAGCTCCATCTCCCCTCTTGCAGGGTCCAACCCTTCCCCCTCCTCCTAGGGCTCCCCTCCCTCATCCAGAGTCCCTCCCCAGCTTTCCTGGAGCCCCCCCCTTGAGGGACTGGAAGGGGCTCCAAGGTCTCCCCGGAGCCTTCTCTTCTCCAGGCTGAACACCCCCAACTCTCTCAGCCCCCCCTCCCAGCAGAGGGGCTCCAGCCCTCCCAGCATCTCCGTGGCCTCCTCTGGCCCTGCTCCAGCAGCTCCATTTCCTTCCCTTTGGAGGGAAAATCCATTAATACAGCAAGTTCTGTGTGAGCACTTGCCCGGGCACCAGTTGACCAGCCTGGCTGCCCCAGCCCCTGCCCCTCTCCACCCAGCCCTGCTGTGCCCTCATCCCTCCCTTGCCAAACCTCCTGCTTTTCGGCCCCAGTTCAGCTGTTTGCAAGGCTCCAAGTGGCTGTGGGGAGCGGGCTGGGGATGGCAGACAGCCCGGCCCTGGCACGGCCCTGTGGTGACCACCTGCCTTTCTGGCTCCATGGCCTTTCCCTGTAATGCCCAGCAGCACCCGCAGCCTTGGCAGCGCTGCCCGGCGTGACATCAGCCCCCTCACCAAACGCCTGCAGATGCAGGGCCCGCCGGGGGAAAAACAAAGGGGATATTTTGGCCATTGAGCACCAAACTCTGCATCTCCCCACACCCCTCAGCCCCCGGCCGTGCCCTCAGCTGAGCTGTTTCTGCTGGAGGCAGCTCGGGGGGGTCGGTACCGAGGGGGCACAATGAACTGGGAGCACAGGACACGTTCAAAGAGCAACTGGACAAAGCCGGAGAGGATGCAGTTTTTGTGGGGTATGATGACAGAATCACAGAATCACCATGGTTGGAAGGGACCTCTGAGATCGTCCGAGTCCAACCTCAGAAAAGAAAAATACAACCCAAAAAAACCCCAACAACAACAATAACAAAACCAACAACAAAACAAAAACCACAGCACCCCAGCACATCACACCCACCCACAAACCAATGATCTCAGGGACCAGAGCCTGCCCTGAAGTGCCACAGCTACACGTTTCTTAAATACCCCCAGGGATGGTGACTCCACCACCTCCCTGGGCAGGCTGTTCCAGGGCCTGACCACCCTCTCAGGAAAGTCATTCTTCCTGATAGCTCATCTAAACCTCCCCTGCCCCAATTTCAGACCATTCCCTCTGCTCCTGTCATTATTCCTTTGGGTGAAGAGGCCAACCCCCACCTCTCTGCACCCTCCTTTCAGGTAGTTGTAGAGGGCAATGAGGTCTCCCCTCAGCCTCCTCTTCTCCAAACTAAACATGCCCAGTTCCCTCAGCCTCTCCTCGTAGGACTTGTTCTCCAGACCCCTCCCCAGCTTGGTGGCTCTCCTCTGGACACCGCCATGTCCTTCCTGTAGTGAGGGGCCCAGAACTGACCACAGCCCTCGAGGTGAGGCCTCACCAGTGCCCAGTCCAGGGGCACGATGATGTGCACAGAAACCTCTGATGGGAAGAGAGCTGCTGCCTGGGGGGTACTCAGGAGAAATACCACATCCTTGCCCTGTTCTCCCTCTCCCTGGGGCCTCTGCCTCACAGCAAGGCTGAGGACTGAGGCCGGGCTCCCGCACTAGATGGAGCCAGCTCTGGTTCAGCAGTGATGCCGGCATGTTCTTAACAGCACCAGGAGACAAAAAAAACCCGGTCACATCTTTATGCTTGTTTCTACTTCTCACCTGGGAAGGGCCAGGAGTTGAAACACGGAGATTTACACAGCGCTGAGCTGTGTCACTGTGCCCAGAGCAGCCCAGAACTGGGTCGAGCCCCAGCAGGGATTGTCTCAGGGATGTGCCAACCATCCCATGGACAGGTACTCTGTCGCCTACAGAGCTGGTTCAGGGAATACAGAATCAGAGAATCACAGAATTACATGGGGCTGGAAGGGACCTCTGGAGATCATATAGTCCAACCCCCCGTCAAAGCAGGTTCACCATTCGAGGGAGGTCATCCTGCCCCTCTACTCTGCCCCGGTGAGGCCCCATCTGGAGCGCTGTGTCCAGTTCTGGGCTCCCCAGTTCAAGAAGGACAGGGAACTGCTGGAGAGGGTACAGCAGAGGACCACAAAGATGATGAGGGGCCTGGAGCATCTCTCTTACAAGGAGAGGCCGAGGGACTTCAGTCTTTGTAGTCTTAGTAGAGAAGTCTGAGGGGGGATCTAATAAATGCATACAGTTACTTGAAGGGAGGGTGTCAGGAGGACGGGGCTGGTCTTTTTTCAGTGGTGCCCAGGGACAGGACAAGAGGAAATGGGCACAAACTTGAGTATAAGAAGTTCCACCTAAACATGAGGAGGAACTTCTTTACTGTGAGAGTGGTGGAGCACTGGGACAGGCTGCCCAGGGAGGTGGTGGAGTCTCCTTCTCTGGAGACATTCAAAACCCACCTGGACAAGTTCCCATGCAACCTGCTATAGGTAGACCTGCTTTGGCAGGGGGGTTGGACTTGATGATCCCCAGAGGTCCCTGCCAACCCCATATGATTCTAGAGCAGGTTGCACAGGAACATGTCCAGATGGGTTTTGAATGAACACAACTGGGAAGCTGGTCCATCTCCATTGAATTTCCTGACCTGCAACCAGCAGACTGGCCAAGTGGCCTCCAGGCCAGAGAGGACAGTGGCTACCAACAGCCCTGGGCTGGTCCAAGGCCTTGGCTGCCGCCCATGAGCAGCTGTAGGTCTGGTAGCCCCTATTCTACCTTTGGGGGCTTCCACAAGCCCCGGTAGCTCAGTCCCTGCTGTGAAGATCTTTGAATGTGTTAAAAGGAAGGTATTTCAAGTGAAGGAAGGGTTGAAGGGGACAGTTAGATAATGTAAAGGTATTCCAGGCGTGGGTATTAGCTTTTGTTTTATTTTACGTAGCTGCTTCTACTGCTATTGGCTTTATTCTCTCTGTTCCCCACTTGCTATTTCTCTGTGCTGGAAGCAGCTCTCCTCCAGCTTTTTTCTTACATGAGGAAGGGAGCCCTGTGGAGGATGCTGCCTGGAGCACTACCCAGTTCAATGCCCAGCCAGAGATCTCAACAGCACCAAGATGGGGCAAAGGAAGGAGACAGCAGGAACTCCACAAATTTCAACAAGGAGACATGCAAAGTCCCCCCCCCGAGAAGAAAAAACCCCTTGTGACGGGACTGGCTGGTGGGAAAGCAACTCTGGGGAAAAGAACTTGGAGCCTCTCTGCCCCAGTTTTGGGGCATCCAGTTTTGGGGGGCTCCAATGCAAGAATAACCAACCCACTGAAGGGATTTCAGTGGAGAGCCACCAGGATGGTCCAGGCTGGAGCTCTTGCTCTGTCCGGGGCGGCTGAGGGAGCTGGGATCATTCAGCCTGAGGAAGGAATGGATCTG